TTTAGGACAGTTACATAAAATAAGATTGCCGTAGTTTAGTTTAGAAAAAAATCGTTAATAATTTCTTAGCTAATAGTGTTTAGAATGTCAATTTCAAATCAACATTATTTAAACTTTATTTTTACTCTTCATAGAAATAAACAATTTACTTTTATGATATTTATTAAAATAATAAATAAACAAATATAAAAGAATAAAACTATAAATTTCAATTCCTTCTATGAAAGAATATAAATAAATTTGTTCAAAAATATAATATAATAAATTTTTTCATCCACTCAAGTTCAAATACATTTTTTTGAACACTAGATGCACTTGATTTATAAGTTTTCAAATATTAATTCAGTAATTACAATTTACACAATTAATTAAATTTTTTTAGATTTAAGTTGCATATATCTACCAATAAATGGCGCCCATAAACAAACATATAATGAAAATTATTTACAAAGGACTCTCCTGCAATACACCTGAAAAAAGTGGGTGACTTAAACTTTTTTTTAAGAGGCTAAAAAGAATATAAATAAATTATAAAATATTTAAAAAAAATTTTAAATATAAAAACATTTAAAAAATTATAAAAATATTATAAATTATTCATTTACTTTCTTTAAGTTTTTATTTTAACTATGCCTTGCATAATTAATAAACACACACACACACACAATATATATTATTACAACTATCATTTTCAATTTAACTGAAATTGTAAGAAAATTTCCGTTTTACTAACTAGTGAGTAAGGAATCGTTTTCCCGTTTGTATACGATTCGAATCAGTTGACATCATCCTTACAAGTTTAGAAAAGTTCACAGAGACATCCAGCATTGTCCTTTTGGCATTACAATACTTTCCTTAAAAGCAATGCTTCATTGCAGTAAATCTTTTCAAATATATATATTTAAAATGAATGGTCACTATTAATATTAATGTTAGTTTTTTTAATAATTTAATTAAGAAATTTTAGTAATCACCTCTTAAAAAACTTTAGAGGCTATCAGCACTTTATAATTTTACTTTGCCAAAAGAAGGAATCATTTTCAGATTTAATCAATCTTACAAGTTTAAGACATGTTCAGAGGCAATCAGTCATTAGTCTTGAACATTTGCAATACTCTTTTAAAAGCAGTGCTGCACTTTATTTTACTCTTCATAGAAATTGGCAAATTTATTTTATGGTAATAAATAATAAAAACAAATATAAAAAGAATAAAAATATAAAAAAAATTTTAAATCTGAAAAGAATATAAATAAATTATAAAAAATATAAAATGTGTTTAAACATAACAAAAAATTTAAATAAATTATAAAATTATAAATATAAATTATTCATTTTATTTTAACTAGATGCTTTGCTTACTTAATAAATACGAATAATAATAATTCGAATCTAAATACTTGAAATGAATAAGCATTATTCCTAATTTTATTTTTAATAATTTAGTAGGAAATTTTAGTAATTATCTCTCTAAAAAACCTTAGAGGTTATACGCCGGCTTTATAATTTTACTTTGCCAAGGAAGGAATCATTTTCATATAAGATTCGAATCAATCTTACAAGTTTGAGACATGTTCAGAGGCATGCAGTCATTAGTCTTTACCCATACAATACTTTTCTTAAAATCAGTTTAGGCTTCAGTAAGTGTTTTTAGAATTTAAATATTTGAAATTGAATAGGCATTACTAATAATAACGTTAGTTCTAATAATAATTTAAAAATGAAATTTTAATAATTTTCTAAAAAAACTTTAGAAGTCCTCATACTTTGTAATTTTACTTTGCTAAGAAAGGAATCATTTTCACACAAATATAAGATTCTAATCAGTCTTACAAGCTTAGACATTTTCAGAGGCATGAAACCATTTGTCTTTTTACTCTTACAATACTTTTTTCTTGAAAGCAGTACTACAATGCAGTAAGCCTTTTTCAAATATAAATATTTAAAATGAATGGGCGCTATTAATATTGATGTTAGTTTTAATAATTTAATAAGAAATTTTAGTAATTACCTCTAAAAAAAACTTTATAAGTCATCCGCATACTTTATGATTCCACTTCGCTAAAGAAGGAGTCACACATAAGTACAAGATTCTAAGTATGATTCTAATTAGTCTTACAAGCTTAGACATGTTCAGAGGCATACAGCCAATAGACTTTTAACATTACAATACTTTACTTAAAAGCAGTTTAAAACTTCAGTAATTCTTTATGGAATTAAATATTTGAATTTAAGAAGAAATGTGTTGATTTTATCAATTTCATGAGAAGTTTGAGTCATTCCATCTAGAGATTTCAGAAGTCGCCAGCAGATTTTATAGGTTCATTTTTCCTATAAATGACTTTTTTCTTATTTAATTTAATGTATAATGCTTTTACCTGTTGTTAGCTCAACCTACTAAGTTTTAAAGAAAAGAGATCAGTTTCCAATTATTTTACTTATTAAATAATAATTAAATATAATAAAGTATAAATTAAAATAATTTATTCCAATTATTTTAATTTATACCAATACCATGTGAAATTTAATAAATCCTTTACTGTTATTATGAACTATTTTCAGTTTATAAATATCTTTAAATAAAATAAACAGTTAATTAAATGTTTTCAAGAAATTTCTGAAATGTCTAGAATATATCCAAGCAATTTATATATCCTATTCATTTCAAATATCTCTATTCATTTCAAATTCATTGTCATTCATCCCCTATGTTCAGATTATTGTAATCCTCACCGTTGAGTACTGGATGATTGCAAAATAATCGAATGGAAAAAGTAACATCTTCAACACGTATTATATTAGATACAGGTAATGAAAAGAATTCTGAAACTTTTTGGAAATTTATATGTTTATATGATTACTATGACGTTACACTAATTGAAATGATTTTCTTCCATTTTTTTAATCAACAAGTAATATTAAACAATTTTTTTAGACTCGATTCCTATTTTTTTTTTCACTATATTGCAGAAAAGTCCGGTACTTACGTATTAACGCTACCTTGGCTACAGTTGCGCCAATAAAGAGCAATCTTGTTGTTCGCACGCGCACGCAGTCTTTTGAACGCCAACCGCAGCTACAGATTTGGCGGTTTTAAATTCTGCTACCCTCAAATCAGTTGTCTTTAAGTCCCACATGATAAGCACACTGAATGAAATTGCATTTCCAAAACTTACGTTTACCAAAATAAAGTTTCATGTCATGGGAATTGGGACATTTTCGTTTTTTTTAAAAATATTTCGCTCCTGAAAAAATAAAATTGCATCTTGTTCTGTTTCTGGCAAATCCCAAATACGCATTTTCGTAGCACTAAAAAATGGCGTCAAAAATCAGCAAATCTGTAGCAGTTAGATTGGCTCCACTTAAAAACCGCCAAATCTGTAGCTGTTAGATTGGGGACACTTAAAAACTGCCAAATCTGTAGCCAAGGTAGCGTTAATACGTAAGTACAAAAGTCCTTTACAAATAAAGTTGAAATTTTCCTCTTACATCTGGCGCCATCTATTATTAGATGCATGTAACTGAAATCTAAGAAAAACTAAAATTAAATAATTAAATTTAATGACTGAATTAATATTTGAAAAAACTCTATTAACATCAAATGTCACCCACTACAAGTTCAAAAAAATGTATTTGAACTTGAGTGGAGGAATAAAAAAGTATTTTATTAACGATTGAAAATTTGAGCAAGATATATATAGGGAGAGTGCGAACTAATAGTAGGAATTGAAAAAGAGAGAAAATAATTTAGTAGCAAATATTTAAATTCTAAAATATAGTGCTACGAAGATCATTTATGAAACATTCATGATAAACTGCGCATCACACCACATCTTATTCTATCTAAAAAAAATATAACGTTAAGTCTGAATATATGCTATGAAAGTTACTCGAATATATGCTATTCATTTCAAAATGTCTGGTAAATATTTAATTAATTGATTATTTTATTTAAAGATATTTATAAACTGAAAATAGCTCATAATAACAGTAAAGGATTTATTAAAATTCAGATGGTATTGGCTTCAGAATAAAAATTATTGGAAACTGGTTCCTTTTCATTAATGTCTGGTCATCATATTTATCAGGCCAACAACTTTCGCTACAGCTGCAAATATTAGATTTCGTCGACTTCTCTATTTTCTATTCATAAGGGAGCTCCAAGTTCTTTTTATAATAATAATAATAATTATTATTATTTTATTAGACATCAGTAGGCTTCGTGTTTCATTTATATATGTTATGATCAACCATCGGCGGGCGATGGGGGGGGGCTGACGTAAGTACATGTAATCTTTTTGTGAAAAAAATCAAAATATTTAGGATAATAAAAGCCATTGTGATACAACACAGAATTGAAAGAGAAAGAAAAGTAACTTGGACAAAGTATACATTGGAGTCATGTAATTAAAATTTAATTTGGTTTCTAGACTTTTTAATAATTAAGAGAAATTTTATGTATTATCCAATGCCTTTAGTTTAATTGTTATGAAATGATTAGTATTAAACAAAAAATATTAGATATTAAATTATTAGAAAGTCCCATTAATTTATCATATATGCTAAAAATTGGGCCTGTTGGCCAAGTGATTAACGCTCTGGCGCTCGGTGCCACAGGCATCGGGTTCGATTCCCGGTGATGCCATGGATGTTTGTAGTAGTGCGGAATCCACTTTAAAACGTAGATCCCAGTCTAATTTGACCGTAGAGCGTTGTTGTTGTTTCTTATCCCACTTGGCTGGCCAAGCCCACGAGCCCATACGTACTCATGATTGAAGGGGAAGGAAGCAGCTTCTGTTGTGATGGAGCACCCATAGGTAGAAGTCTGACTTTGGCTCCGTGACGCTCTTACAGTCATAGGAGACCGGGACATACAGCTTAAAGTGGATTCCGAACCACTGCAAACATCCATGGCACCGCCGGGACTCGAACCCGAAACCTGTGGCTCCGAGCGCCACAGCGCTAGACACTCGGCCATTCTGGTCCCAAATTTGTGAATGCCAACGGCACGCGGTGTTCCCACCAGGTGGTCACCCACCCAAGTACTGACCGCGCCCAATGATGCTTGACTTCGGTAATCTAACGAGAACCGGTATATTCAGCATGGTATGGCCGTTGGCTATTGACCGTAGAGCGTTGGACTAACAATCCTACCACGTAAAAGAAAAACACCTCATGTCCCGAAATCTGACAATAGGCAAACTGCCATGGCCCACCATGGGGTTGTTATACAGTGAAGAAGAAGAAGAAAATAAATAAGAAATAATTTAAATTTTCATCGTTTCTGTGAATGTTTTGAATTTGTTCATTACTAAACATGCATCAATAAAATAGTGGTTCGAAATCCACTTTAAAGCGTTGGTCCTGATCTAATATGACTGTAGAGCTTTGGACTTCGAGATGACAACCCCACCACTAAAAAGGAAAACATATTTCCTGTCTAGAAATCTGCTAGTAGGCAGATGACCTTGGCCCACCACGGGGCTGTTGCGCCACTGATGATGATACACTAAAAATTAAAAAAAAAAAAATCTCACACATTTCAGTTGTTATCACATTTTTTAAAACATTTTCATCGAAATCTTGCAAATTCAATTTAAGCCTTTCTTACAAAAAACCCTGTAAAGTATTTATAAGGTATCTGTGCACAGGCATTATCATTAAAAAATACGACTTTGTTTATATAACAACGATGAACTACTTTTTACTAAGTTATTCATAAACAAAGTTATGATTATTTAAATTACAATTGGCGCCCTATTAAAATAAGTAGTTATTTATACCTAAGAATATTTTGATACGACTTCCAGTAAGTATATATTTTGGCCAAATCGCAAAATAGAGGCCGTTGGGTTTTTGGCGACTTTTTGTGGCGCCAACTAAGCAATAAGTTACCAAATGTGGTAACTCAGATTTTTTGTACTGTTTGTAGTTCATTTCACTTACAATTGCAACCCTTTTCTTGGCACAGTTTGGTGAAAAACAATTTTGACGCCAAATCCCAGCAGCCCCATATTCTGAGATCTTGCCCATGTTCTTTCAAAAATTTTTAATTTTAACGTTCTTTCATTAATACTAGTTCAATAAGGTTAATATTTTTGTTGAAATATTAAAAAAACTATTTAATTACTTCTAGTATTACCCCTTTCAATTTTTCAGTGATTCCAATTTCTTTATTTTTTTAGTTTTCTGAAATTCAAATATAGTATCTGCATTCTTCACACACCACTTTTGATTTCTATTTTTTTGTTTTAGAATTAGAAACTGTTATTATATACTAATACAGCTATTTGTATTAGATTTTTTAATGTTAAGAATAAGAGATATATGGAAAGCTGGAGAATTGCTTGTTTAAACTTCCTTTGAAATCTCAGAGTATTATGTTGATGATTTAAAATAAATTTTATATATTTTCTTGGTTAATTCATTAATTAAAAACGCATAGCTTTTAATATAATACTAATACTATATACCTGAAGCCCACACTATACCCCGCCTTCCTTTTTCTCATTGGCCATTTGGACAATTGCTCTAGAAATATATATGCAGTATGGACTCATGCCCTTTTCATATTTGGGGACTTGCTGGTAAAACTAATAAATACAAAAATTCAGGTTCTACAAACAAAATTCTTCGTATAATCACTGGGGCTCCTGGTTTATCAGAAACGACATTATTCATAACGATCTCAGAATAGCTACAATAGACAACTATATCAATGATCTCTCTAGAAACTTCTTCTTTGGCTTGAAAAATCATAATAACAACTTAATCAAGCACAACTCTTTTTTTTGCATACAACGGAAGAAAACATAAATATCCTTTTTCAACTACAAAATGTTCAGCAGATCTCAGACCACCATAAATATATTTTTTCTTTCTTAGAACTCCTGGATTTCGTACATTTTTGTAAACATATTTTCATTTTCAAATTTGTTCTCAACCTCATGTATCAGTTCCTCTTTTCATTACCAATGGTAGTTTTAGATTACAAGTTATTACGCGTCCTAGAACATTCCTTTCTCATTGCATAGTCTCCCCATTTTCTGGGAATTCTCGTTTTGCTTTTCAATTCTATTCCGCGATTCCCACGTTTCCTCATCCCCCCCTGCTCATATCTATTGGATATTACTTCAGTTCTTTTAATTTACTATAAATATATTTTCATTTTTTCCTTCTTCATTTATATAATATTTTTGAATGCTGTTTCTTACGTCCTACTTTTAGTATGATTTTGAGTAGACGTGCCCTTACAGGTACTCGACTCTCAATTCAATCTCAGTCAGTCCTTTTCATGTTGTTTTGGGTATTATTATGGAACTTGAAGAATTATGGAAAAATGTTGTTGTTCTAATGCAGCTGGCAATAAATAGACAGTTAATCTTCACGCCATAAGCAAGAGCTGCATCGTGGTTACACATTTAGCACTACCCAGGGGGCGTGGAGCTTGAAGATATGCTACGGACGCGAGTAACACTACCCTCACAACACTATACGGTCCTGTTAAACCGGAACCTACGATTTAAAGTGGATTACATTACAAACATCCATGACAACATCAAAGCAATATCGAAGTTCTATTACAAACATCCATGACACCGCCGGGATTCGAACTCGAAACATGTGGTACCGAGCGCCAGAGCGCTAGACATTCGGTCATCAGGCCCCATTATAGAAAAATATATTTATGAATTAGGGAGCTGGAGGTACGGGTCTGTCGATCCTGGTCCTCATCCTTTGCATAGCTTTATTAACAGGTGGTAACGTGCAGTCAGCAGTCAGGTGGTAACGTGTTAGGCTTTTGAAATGAGGGCCTTGGTTTGAAACCTGACCATTAGCTTCCATGTCTATGCTAGGGATGAGCATAATAAACACGTTTGCCTGCAAAGTCTTTTTTTTTAGCTCAAAGAAGTTTAGGAGATGGTGTGAATCTTAAAAACACCCATTAGGGATGTTCGCTCCAAATTGTGGCGGCACAATGTGAGCCCAGTATAGCGAGTCAGTCGGGGAGGGAGGGGGGGCGTGAGAAATGAGGCACCTGGGCCTTAGAGGCTTATATTCCCAAATACTAAGTTAAGAAGATGTAGAAGGCGTTAAAACGATAACTGCAAGATATAGAAAAAGGGGTGGGTGGGGTGGGTTGGGAACAGGGACTTGAAATCACGACCGAGAACCGGCTTGGTCGCCTAGCAGTCGAGGCAGAGCCACGGGTATTTATTAGAAAAAAAAACAGGGAAGGTTACAAAAGGGGATTACAGTGTCAAAAATCGTTCACGAATAGGTGAGAATAATCACCCGCAGGTGATTTTATAAAATACATGGTAATATATACATACAATTATGATAAGTAGATAAGTGTGAACAAAGTTATTAGGAATGTTCAGTTATAAACAGAAATAGTTCTTGGGATAGTTCAATTTCGAACACAAATGGTTCTTAGGAAAGTTCAATCGTAAAAGTTCCAAAGAGTAAACAGTGAAGGAGCATTAGGGCACTGAGTTGAAAATGAGGATGGATGCAAATCCTTAGAAGACATCATTCAAATGACCTGGAGACAATGTTGTTGGAAACGATAGGTACAAAAGATGGCAACAAGTTGTTGTTGAGATTGGTGAAGTTAGGCAGCAGGAACCAGTTGAGAGATGTGATGAGCTTGTAGATGAAATAAGTATGAAGACAACATGGATGATGCAGGGCACTGGTAATGAGGGATAAAGTCAACGTGGGGCACCCTGGGTAACGATGAATCTCCTATAGTTAAATCTCTTTTGGTGTGAAAAATTGGCAAGCGTCCAAGTCGGACTGATTACAACACAGCGACGCAATGGCAAAGAAATATAATTTTGAAAGGATTTTAATTACAATAAAAATAATTCTTATTTTTATTAATTACAATTTTAAATCAAGCTGTATCATAAGAAAAAATGAACGAAAAATAAAATTCCATAACAACCGTTAAACTCCTTTCTTTCATAATTGTTTTGCTCCGCGTATGTGTGACTAGTACCTTTAACGCATAATCGACTTGCCCGTTTCCGTTTTTAAACCGGATGTTCACAATTGGTGATTGAACTATACATATCTAACGTTAGAAAGAAAAATGAACGTGCATCAAAAATGAAAAAAAAAAAAAAAAATCATCAAAATATAATAGAACTAAACTTTAAATTTAAAAGACACAATGCATAGAAAAGTCACCAGAATAAAGAATATAAATAGTGTAATAAATCAAATTAATATTCCATGTATATTTCTTTTTCACGTTTAAACAATATCGATTTAATATTATTGTCCTAGAATCTATGTTAAAACTATAATATTAGGTTCGAATAGGTTCTAGTTAATAAAATGACACAAAAGTAAAAGAGTTACATCCATAAAAGCATATTCCATTTATATCTTCATGTAATACAATATCATAAATCGATCTCACAATCTGCTATTATGTATTCTAATGTTACTTGAATTATCAAAATAATAATTTCGATATTAACCTAACTTTCATCGAGTAAATAATTCTTTGATAATAAGTTTTGGAGGTACTTTAATAAGAAACCCCCAAAGCTATTATCAAAATGTTTCTTCTATTTATCATATTTTCATCGTAACATCTTTATTTTTCTATTAATATTTTAACATAAATGTAATGTATATATGTCAAAATAACATTGACATTATTTGAAGAAACCAGATTTAAGTGAATAGGAGTATTTTGAAAGATAAAAAGAAAGAAAACAAATCAAATATCTGTAAAAAAACCACTCAATGTTGGAATAATTTGAAAAAAAAAAAAAAAAAAAAAAAATCAATAAAGATGTTTTGCTTAGATAAAAAATAAATGATATGAAATATTAAAAGGAAACATCAAATAGAATAAATTTTTTTGTGTGCAACTATCGTAATTCTATATTAGCATAAACATGTTTACAGTTTCAAACATATAATTTTTAAAAATCAAAAGATATATAATGTAACAGAATGTAGACGGTTAAGATCTTAAACTAGTATAAAGTTCTCAAACCTTAAGCTCAGTTTTGATGCCGAAATAAAAAAAAAAAATCATTAAAAATGGAAGGTAAAAGGAATAATAAAACAAATTATTTACTAGAAATATTCC